GATTCGTCGATCGAATCGACGTCGATTCGACGGTGCCGATATCGATCGACAAGTCATTTCTCGCTGGGTGAGTTTATTGCGCCAGGGGCTCGATCGTGAATCTTCTTCCCTAGCGTGAACGCGTGAAAAGTGAAAGGTTTCATTGACGAGTATTGAATTGTTCAATGAAATTTGTCACTTTTCACGCGATCACGCTAGAGGAAAAGATTCCCCAGCGAGAAACGACTCGTCGGTCGATGTCGACGATGATTCGACAAGTCATTTCTCATCGGGTCATGATCGAGCCCCAGAACAAAATGCAAACAAACCGATGCGACCGACGGCGCATTATAAGTTACGGAGGATAATTTTCTAATAAACAACGCCGCTCCTTTCTTCGCATTGAACCGCGCATGCTGTACGTGGAAAAAACTGTCCCCTCTGACGTCATTCGCGCGCCACGTCGTTTGAATGGTCGCGTACGGGATATCCGGTCGGTCCACCCCCGATCGTCGATCATCGCTCGGCCGATCGCGGCTCGAAGGAACAGAGAGAGAAAGAGAGAGATATCTTCGTTGTTCGCGGAGCTGCTTCTCCTCGTTACGCGATCTCCGCTCGACGATGACATATTTAAGGTAATTGGGTCTCGGGGAGGCGACACGGAGCGGCCGGCGGCGCGCATGACCTGCGCGCCCCGCCGCGTCTCTCCCTACGGCGGAGTCAAAAGGCCCCCCTTGCGGGCTGCTTCCGTTCGCCGTTCCGCAGAGTCCGCGGGATCCGAGTCTGCGCCATGCCTCGCAGAGGCGTGTCCTCCGGCTCGCACGCTCGTATTTAGTACAACATAGAGGCCCCGCTTTACTCGTCCACGGTCTCTCGCGGCGGAACGGCGGGTGCGCGCGCGAAAATTCACACCTCGGAGGAACGGGAGGACCGCGCGAAGGAGAGGAAGGAGCGCCGAGGAGGAAGCGCGAGAGGGTGCAGTTCCCGCGGCGGACCCGCAACCGCCGCCGTCGCCGCCGCCGACCTGGCGACGCTCAGGGCAGAGCGCGGTTCCCCGTGGAAGATGTAACGATTTCCGCGAGGCCTTCTCGCGCGGAAGGGAAACAAAAAAACAGAGAGGATAACGGCGCCGACGACGGGGAGGAGAAGCGTAGTAGCGCGGCCCGCAGCGGTTCTCCGATCCCGAGGGGGAAGCGACGCCTCGCCATCGGCAGGGGAAGTTCATGGCTTGAGGCGTCATCGGCGCGCGGACGGGACTCGCCCGTATATTCTTCGCCGGACCGGGGCAGTGAGGTTCGCCGACAGTCAGGTAACTGCCTAAGCTTTTCGCTTCGCTCGGCAATAGGAGACTTGATCTGATCGCTGCCGCAGTGGCTTGTCCGACTCTCTCCTTCTCTCTCGACGAGAAGCTTTTTTTTATTTTCATTATTCAGCGCGCGCGCGCGAGGAGAGACGTGTCCTTCCCTCGCGGTCGACGGAAAGTAGCGCGTATTATGCCGCGCGTCCCGCCGAGGGTACGCGGGGTTTCGTCGGGAAAGAGAAAGCGCGCGCGAGATGAGAATCGGACGGGCGGGACAGTCGCGGCCGCGCGGTATTTCAGTCCCCGTATGGCGGTAGCGGCCGCGTTCGCGGCGGTACGCAATTCCCTTTCGCGCTCCTCCGCCACCGCGTCCGACCTTCCCCGTGCGCTCGCCTTCTCCCCCTTTCTTTCTTCTTTTTTTTCTTCCCCCGCGTTACGCGGTATTTATAGAGGCGCCTCCCCGCCGCCGCCGTCGCCGTCGCGGACGCGAGCCCGCGACGCGCCGCGTCTCCGCCGTCCGTTTTCCGGAGGATCGCCCGCGCGAACTCGCGGCCGCGAATCCGGCGATCCCCAATCGTCGTTTAGCGCTACGCTCTGCCGAGCAGCAGCAGCAGCAGCAGCAGCAGCAGCAGCAGCTCGCACAGTTTATCATCGATCGCGCGCGGACGGCCGCACACCGCTTCGCCCGGCGCTCGTTGCACGTAGATGTGTACGTGTCTGGCAACAGGTTACCTGCCGACCTGTGCGGCAGGACGGAAACGATCCGATGACCGAGTTTACGCGCGGGGCCGGGATCGCTCGCGGGGAGGGCCCGGCCGAAGCGCGGCCGGCAATTGATCGAATAATAATCGACAGATTGGCACCCGAACTCGCCGCGCGCTCCCCCGCGCCCCGCCGAATCTCGGACGTTTATTTTCGCGTCGCGTTATCGGGGCGGAGTACGCGGGGCTGCCTCTCGCCTCTTTCGCGCCGCGGAGACGAGGGGCGACACTCGGTCCTCGCGTTGGCGGGCGGCCTGCTTCTTTTCAATGCCCGAGAAAAGCAAGCCGGGCGGGCGGGTTGAGAGCGCGGGGTGCTCGGTGGACTCGCCGATGAGCGACGCTCCAGCGTCTTCGCTTCGCGCGAAACGTAAACACGGGACCGGTCGATGACTGCGAAACGGAGCTGCCGCGCGCCGAGGCCGTGTGTTCGCGAGGAGACCTCGGGTCCTCCGGGCCTGCGTTCGGAAACGTTACTCGAGTGCACTTGCCGCGCGAATGCTTCGGAGCGGACTTCGTCCTTTTGTTGAAGAAAGAGGAAGCCCGCGCGCGGCCTCGCAGCCTCTTCCGCCGAACGTTTTGACAAGGAAACAGAGGCGAGGGATAATCGTGTCCATCAGAGGATCCGTTGGCCTCCCCCCTGATGCAAGTTTTAATCGTCGGTTAATCTAGCCGAGGTCGAGCGAGAGGCTCTTATGCCCGTTTCTACCGATGCAGATTAACTTGAATCTCGGCTTGACTCTGTCTTTTTCTAGTTTTAAAAATTAGAAGAAGGCACGGAGTAGGTTAAGCCGGGATTAAAGTTAATCTGCGTTGGCGGAAACGGGCATCGGACGCCCCGAGATCTACAGTTGTTTTCGAACGCAGTCCAGGGTCTCGATCATGAATCTCTTCCTCTAACGTGAATTCGTGTAGGGTGAAAATTTTGAAGAACTTCACTGTTCGTCGGCGAAATGAATTTTCACCTTTCACGAATTCACCCAAGAAAAATAAAAAGTCAAGATGATGTCCACTTGATGTCCTATTTTGGTCAATAAATGTAGCATCAAATTGACGTCATCTTGACTTTTCGCTTTTCCTTGGGCACGCGAGAGGAAAAGATTCATGCTGTGAAGCGCCTGGTGGAGCATAAAGCTCGCAATGACATCGCGATAACGTTATTAAACCCTATCAAACGTTATTAATAACGCACAAAAAGTCCTGATGGCGTCACCGCCAGTTTCACGTTCCACCCAGGGTCCAGGGCTTCGCCGGCGACTCGCGAATTTACGTCATGCTAGAGAGTCGCCCGCGTGTCTCGTTGTTCGCGAAGGACGCGGTCCGTTTTGGCAAGAGAGAGAAGAGAGAGAGAGAGAGAAGAGAGAGAGAGAGAGAGAGAAAATAGAATGGGATTTTCATTTATTAAATGCTCTGGGACAAGTCCCCTAAAGTGTTACATAAGCACAGAAAAAATAATTACGAGTAAGAATGAGCTCTCGTATAATGAAAACATTGAATATAGAACAATGTATAACAGAAAAAAAAATTGAATATAGAAAAATGCACAGAATATGGGAACAAAGATAATATGTAGGCAGTTGTCGCAGATTACAATTGATTAATTACAACACCCTCCAACAGAGAGGGGGGGGAGAGAGAGAGAGAGAGAGAGAGAGAGAGAGAGAGAGAGAGAGAGAGAGAGAGAGAGAGAGAGAGAGAGAGAGAGAGAGAGAGAGAGAGAGAGCA